ACCGGGTGACCCCAGCCACCACAATGCAGAGCCTCCAGGAAGCTGCAGCGACGAGCCCACAGGTCCGGCCGGCGACCCATGCCCCCCCAGGTAGATTCGGCCATGGACACCGAGCCCCAAGCCCCGAGCCCATACCACCCCCCAGCAGAGCCCCGACAGAGCCAGGGCACCCAGGTCCCGCCAGGCAGCAACCAGGGCGGACCGACGTGCACCCCACCACCCAGCCCAGACACAGAGAGCCATCAATGCACCGGCGGCAAGGGGGTCCCCCGCCAAAGGGGGGCACGACCAGGGGGAGTGGGCCCCACACCAAACGTGGGGCCCTAATTGATCCAAGAGAAGGGGGACCACCAAAAACCCAACCTGAGCAACCAACAGGCACACACAGCCGACCGCATGCACCATCTACCTGACAGCGACCACAGGCCGGCCCCAGCCCAAGGGGCAGAGCAGCAGGGAGCCGCAGCTGAGGAGGGCCAGCTCTCACATCAAGAGCTCCGCACCATAGGCCCGGAGACGCCCCAGCACGCCACCCATGCACCCCCACACACACACAGCACCCCCACCGCAAATGCCACACAGGAAGACCAGTCAGTGCCCCGATGAGGCGAAGCCACGCCCCCAACTGCCACCCTACACCACCAATGACCACATGTACACTACCATAGCCGACCCCCCGCCGAAAGCCGGCAGCCACCCCGGTCAAAGTGCCGGCCATCGCAACCAGGGACCTAGATTAAAAGAATCGGAACAGCCCAGGAGGAACCGAAGCACCGGCCTCATCACTGACCGCCACCAAGGCCCAAAGCCCACCCACAGCCCAGACCCCAACAATGCGCCCCCCCCTCCATCCCCGACCCCTAGTGTCACACGGAGAAAGGACGTGTTTGTGAAAGGGGAAAAAATAAAAATAAAAAAATAAATAAATCTATATATGCATAAATAAATTATGAACAGACCCACTTCCTCCTCCTCGCACTCGAATATGGTGTTGATGCATGTTGTTATACAGTGCGTTTAAAATGGGGGGATGAGGTGGCGACTGGCACAGACCCACCTCTTGCCCAGAGAGCAGGCGGCGTCCGTTCACCCCTCATCTCTGCCCAGAACCCTAAATGTCTACATGCTACATATGAGAGTGGGCACAGGTCCGGGGAGGTGGAAATGGTAGTACATCCCACCACCTAAGTGCGATCATGTGCCCACTCCAGATCCTATATATGCATGTGTCGTGAGAGTGTTATAAGTGAGTGTCTAGGTTGTATATTAAAATTAGGGCCCAGGACCCCACCAGCCACGGAGATGGATGATTCTCCCCGTAGCTCAGTAGTGCACCTAAACCCCAAAACCCTGTTTGAGTGGTGGTGTGGTGGAGTGGGCGGAGGAGGACGTCGGGATGGGGAGGTGAACTGAGGTGGCAATGCCCCCCCAGGGGACCAGCTCCCCCACTGACCCCAATAGGCACCCCCACTCTCTGAGATCCACCAGGGGACAGAGGCTCTAACAGAGATACCTAGGAGGAGGTGGCAGCCGCACCACCAGGGATCAAGGCCACGGACCGGCACATAGCCTCCGAGGACCAACCAGAACCAGCAACCCAGACCCATCCCGAAACCGTCCAGACGCCCCAACCCAATTCCCAGCCCAACACCCAGCCCCCCAACCAGAGAGGCCACCAAACCCCAACTGGGACAATCAGCCAGGAGTGCCCAAACAGTCAGAGATAGAGCACCACAGCGACCAAGAGTGCCCCCCCACCCCAAAAAAGCAAAAGACCAGTCCACCCATAACAACACCCAAAGTGAGAGCGCCCCATGCAAGTGAGGGCACACACCCAGCGAGCCCAGACTCCCCCGGTCCCACAGCACAGAGCCCCCCC